GCCAACACAGCTGCAAAGGCTTAGGGGAAGGTTCCAGGCCATGACGAATCTGAATCGGCCTCAGATAAATCCTTCTAACCCTACTCAGTTTAAAACTGATATGGAATCAGCAGCTTCGAGCGCATGACCGGGGGATGATCTATTCGACGTACCCTACGATCCTATAAGCGAGACCATCTACGGCTACTCAAAGCAGCAACAACCACTACTACTCGAGGTGATCTGCAACGAGCGACGCCTCCAGGCACTGGTGGACAGCGGTGCATCTCACTCGGTGTGTGACCGCGGGACGTTGGAGAAAAATGGAGAACCTTCGGAGGAGACCAAGTTTACGGCAACTATGGTGGACGGTACGAAACTTCTCATCCACGATGAAGCATCACTGCAGCTGCACATAGGGGCGCTCAGGTGGAAGCCAACGTTGCCGAGCACGAACATCAAGGGTTTAGATTTCACCTTGGGGCGAGATTTCTTGAAGCGGTTCAACACCGAGATCGATTGGGTCAATCGGAAGGCGTGCATCTACAACAACGAGAAACGAGTGGAGCTGCGAAGCTAGACGGATATAGAGGATGTTCCTGAAACGACACTGGCACGGTTCGAACGGACGGTGAACGAGAGTAACACGGGTTACTTAGCACTGGTTATGGCAGCAGCAGAGGAGGAGAAGCCGAACACAGAGCTACCTGCAGCAGTGAAGGAGGTCTTGGGGCAGTACAAGGATATAATGCCTGACGACCTACCTGCAGGTGTACCTCCAGCACACACCCACGAGCACGAGATAATTGAGGAACCAGGTGCAAAACCCGTCTCACGTGCACCATACCGACTAAGTCCGACCGAACTGACAGACGTGAAGAAGCAGATAAAGTATCTACTGGACAGACAACTGATCCGCCCATCCACCTCTCCCTACGGTGCACCAATTCTCTTCACTCCAAAACCAGACGGCAGTTTACAGATGTGCATCGACTACCGCGCACTGAACAAACAGACAGTAAAAAACAAATATCCCATACCGCGCATAGACGACCTAATGGACCAACTGCGTGGTGCAACAGTCTTTTCGAAGCTGGACCTACGGTCGGGTTACTGGCAGATCAAGATGGAGGACAACTTGATCCAGAAGACGGCGTTCCGTACCAGATACGGCTCCTACGAATACTTGGTGATGCCGTTCGGACTCTGCAACGCACCAGCAACGTTTCGGGCGGAGATGAATTACATCCTACGGCCCCTGTTGGACGAATGCGTAGTGGTGTACCTGGACGACATTCTCATCTACTCCAAGAACATGAAGGAGCACGTGGAGCATCTGCGGAAGGTGTTCGAGATCCTGTGAGAAAACAAGTTCTACGTGAAGCTGTCGAAGAGCGACTTCGCCCTGAAAAAGGTGCAGTTTCTCGGGCACATGGTGAGTGCGGAGGGCGTACACGTGGACCCGCGGAAGTTCGAAGCCGTCAAGAAGTGGAAAGTACCAGAGAACGTGAAGGAGTTGCAGAACTTCCTAGGCTTCGCCAACTACTACAACAGGTTCGTGCCACAGTACGCTAAGATAGCAGCACCACTGACCGACCTACTGAAAAAGGATACGCCCTACAAATGGGATACTCCTCATTAGCAAGCCATGGAGCAACTACAGACAGCACTGACCACGGCACCAGTACTCATCCTACCGGATCCAGACAAAGACTACATGGTGGAAGCAGATGCTAGTGACCAGGCAGTTGGAGCAGTACTTATGCAGGATCATGGACGCGGTTTGCAGCCCATCGCCTACCTCAGTAAGAAGTTACACGGAGCAGAACTTAACTACCCCATCCATGACAAGGAAGCCTTAGCGATAGTTATAGCATTCAAGGCATGGAGGTGTTACCTAGAGGGAGCCAAGACCACAGTTTATGATGACCACTGCAGTCTCAAATACCTGAAGTCGCAGCCGATGCTCTCACGACGACAGGTGCGGTGGGTGGACTTCTTGGAAACTCACTTCCACTATAACATCGTCTACAAGCCCGGGCTACACAACAAGGCCGACACATTGAGCCGCCCTGGTCATGTAGCAGGCATCCAACTCGACGGGATGAATCCTCTGCTCAAGGGTCTATTCCAACATGAATACTCCGTGGACACAGAGATCGCTATAGCACAGACTAGAGTTACCAGCCACTGGGACACACAGTTACCGACCCTAGAGTTCGCTTACAACAACAACGCGTCACATGCGGCCATAGGGAAAACTCCTTTCTTCCTGTGTTACGGACGGGAACCACTTACACCACAGCAGCCAATCACACCAGCACACGTCCAAGCCGCACATGACTTCGTCACCACCTTGCATCAGCTATGGGAGAAGACTCAGCGGCGTCTCACCTCGTTGCAGAACTCCCAGAAGCAGTATGCCGATCGCCAACAACGAGATCACTCAGTAGCAGTCAGAGATCAGGTGCTTCTTGACACACACAACTTGAACCCGTCTCACCTACTGTCCAAACTCCGGCCTCGCTTCTGTGGTCCCTTTCTCGTGGAGGCACTGGTGGCACCAGTTACATTCCGCTTGCACTTACGAGATACATGGAAACTTCACAACGCTTTCCATGTTCAGCTACTGAAGCCCTACAAGGACCCCAACCAACAGTTTTAGGGACGGCAACTCCCGCCACCACCACCTGTTCTCATACAGGTGGCAAGACCCTCGAGTTCCTGATACGCTAGAAGGGATACGGCCCCACTGAGGACAGTTGGGTTGCAGAAGCTGATATGGGCAACGCACGGCGTGCTCTCAAGGACTATCTTGTCAAGCAGGGTGTTTCTCACGCCACCCAGCTTTGAGGGGGGGACGTGTGAGAGTACGACGGCTTAAGCTGGCTTTGCTAGCTTGCCTGGACTTTATTATGCTATATCTAGCTTGGGTTTTTTTTTCATGCATAGATATGCTTGATTTCCTCGGTTATGTGCATTCCTATATTTTATTATAGTTATAGCACCGAACCAGGTTACGTGTACCGAACTCAAGCCTATTCGTTCCACTGAATTGCTTTCTATTGAGTTCGGGAAGGTTTTGTTCGGGACGCTTCGCGACCCTCAGAACATTTGCGTAACACCTGGGTAACTGGCCTTGTGTCGAGACTATATATAGCCTCGTGTTGTACCCAGGTGGATCATTCAATTCAAACTCCCTTTCCTGAGCTCGATCCTAGATCCTAAACCCTGTCGATCCTATATATAGTCACTAAAGCTGGTCACCTACATGGTCGTCGACGACGCCGGCGACAAGAAGAACCAGACGAGCACGGGCGGCTACGTGGTCCTCTTCGGAGGGGCCGCCGTCTCCTCGTCAAGTACGCGACGCTCTTGTGGACCAAGTCGGAATACGTGGCGGCCACAGAAGCCGGCAAGGAGGTAGGCCAATTCCGCTTCCTTCTTACATAGTTCCAGCTGCTGGACGCTGGGACACCGACCGTACTTCGAGTGGACAACAAGTCAGCCATCACGGTCGCCGAGGGCTTGGGGCTACAAGGCAACCTCAAGCACATGGAGTGGTGATACGCCTAGCTGCAGCATATGGTGAAACGCGATAAGTTCGTGCTGAAGTACTCCCCTACCACCGAGCAGCCGGCCGACTTCCTGACGAAGGCGCTGCAATTTCCGGCCTTCAACCGGTGCTCCGTCGCAATCGGTCAAGTACGTGTGGCCGACTTCGGCGACGGTGACGATGACGTGCAGGAGTAGGTGCCGTGCCCTTCTGCCCGGCTGGTGCAATGACGCCGTGCCGTGTGTTGTGTGCACGCCTGCGACAAGACGTTGTTCTCCGAGGAATACTGCTGCATGGGGAGTGTCAATGGGAGTTGTGTGTTGGCCCCGTCCTTGCTTGGGCGGAGCCGACTCCGTGGTCGCGTGTGTGGGAAGTGCGGCCGACCGACTGCAGTGAGCGACGCCGACTTGGGCGTGCAGGTTGATGGGCATGGTCGACCTACACGGGGCCACAGCAAAGCCGTCGACTTTGGGACGCCACAACCGACTTCTACAGGTGGTCGATGACGGGGCTCGTCGACCTGAGCAAGGTGCTGATTTGGAGGGCGCTGACTTTAGGAGGTCGACCCGGCGAGGTCAACTTGGGAGGGCGCTGACTTCGTGGCGCCTACCTGGGGAGGCCGGCTTGGTGAAGTTAGCGACTATCAGGCCTGGTCGACCAGAAGTGGTTGGCCAGAGGTGGTCGTTGACCTTGGAGGTCGACGAGCACATGGTGCAGCACCTAGTCTGGTTGCCCGATCGACCATGTTACCTGGCGACGGGGCTCTGTGGAGGTGCGCAACGGTCGCCGAGGTGATTTTAGCGAAGCCGGACTCTGAGGTGGTATCCCGAGGTCAACGTGGCTGATCAGGCGCAGTTGGCACGTGGTCGGTTTGGCATCTGCGTTGTGCATGTGATGGGGCACAGCACGCCAACCAACCGCGAGCACCTGTGAAGAGGGTGCGCTGCTGCCATGCGGATACAACACACTGCAGCCTGTTACAACACTGACTCAACTAATAACCGGGTTTAATTAGGGGCCTAGGCTTAGTAGGCTAGGCAAAGCGGGTGTCGAGGAGCTTGTGCCAAGGAGAATTGAAGAATAGAGGAGTTCACTATAGCACACAAGGTACATATAGCAAACTAACAAAGGTGAAAGAGATGTACCACCATACAAGGGAATTGCACAACAGCTACTTTACAAGCAGATTATACTAAATAGATATAAATATATTTTGACACACCCCCTATATGCCTGAAGTGCTTAACCATGTGCAGAGCCCCCCTTGAAAGGGTACACATGTAAAACCCCATTACAGAGCGTGGGAACACCAGCAAGGGGCCCCCTCTGAAGCTGACAAGCAGCAACCACCAATAAGCAGCTGAACCACCGCAGTGGAACAGGTGCCCGGCTGCGGTTGAACGCCCTCGCAGCAGGTGCACGGTGTGTGAGGAGCACGGGTACGGGTAGCGGGTTCGGGTAGCAACTAGGTGCTGTATGGGACGGGCCGCACGGGGTTGATGGGCAGCACGAGATTGAGCAGCACGAGATTGGGCAGCACAGACCGGGTGGGGCACGAGCGAGAACTGACAGCACAGGTGGGGCACGAACGGGTACGGACAGCACGGGTGGGGCACGGGCAGAACACACGGGCACAACCGGGCCGCACAGGCAGAACGGGGCAGGACACATGCTGAACGGGGCAAAACGGCACGGGAACGGGCACGATACAGGCAGAACTGAGCAGGACACAGGCTGAACGGGGCAACACGAGCAGAACAGGGGAACATGGGCACAACGGGGCAACACGGGCACAACGGGGCAGCACGGGCAGAACGGGCAGCACAGGCAGAACGGGGTAGGACACGGGCTGAACGGGGCAACACGGCATGGAACGGGCACGACACAGGTAGAACTGGGCAGGAAACGGGCTGAACGGGGCAACACGCGCAGAACGGGGCAACATGGGTAGAACGGGGCAATATGGGCAGAGCGAGGCAGCACGGGCAGAACGGGCAGCACGGGCAGAACTGGGCAGGACACGGGCTGAATGGGGCAACACAGGCAGACACAGGATGCACGGGTGAAACGGGTGGGGCACAGCCAGGTACGGACAGCACGGGTGTAACGGGTGGGGCATGACCGGTTACAGACAGCACGGGTAGAACGGGTGGGGCATGACCGGGTACGGACAGCACTGGTGTAACGGGTGGGGCATGACCGGGTACGGACAGCTCGGGTGTAACGGGTGGGGCATGACCGGGTACAAACAGCACGGGTGTAATGGGTAGGGCATGACCGGGTACAGATAGCACGGGTGTAACGGGTGGGGCATGACCGGGTACGGACAGCACGGGTGTAACGGGTGGGGCATGACCGCGTACGGACAGCACGGGTGTAACGAGTGGGGCATGACAGGGTACGGACAGCACGGGTGTAACGAGTGGGGCATGACCGGGTACGGACAGCACGTGTGTAACGGTTGGGGCATGACCAGGTACCGACAGCACGGGTGTAATGGTTGGGGCATGACCGGGTACGGACAGCACGGGTGTAACGGTTGGGGTGTGACCGGGCACGGGCTCGGGCACGGGGAATACGGGCGGACAGCACGGGCATGGGCACGGGGCAAGCACGCGGAAGTACGGGCAACACGGGGCAGCACGGGACCACGGGGCAGCACGAGAAGCACAAGAAGCACGAGTAGCAGTGGATCACGGGTGCACGAGAGGCGCACGGCAGGAGATGAGAGGAGGAGGAGGCTGCAGTTGCTGACGCTGGAGCTGGACTTTCACCACCCACACCCCTTGAACCTCCCCCCCCATAGCAAAAGAAGCAGCAGCAGAGAGAGAGAGAGGAGGAGGTGTGGCTGCAGTTGTTGCAGGTGAAACTTCTGTCATCCCCTCACACCCCCCATAGCCTCCCCCTTGAGCCGTTACCTCCATTTTCGCCGCCTCCCCCCCCCCCACCCCTTCCACTGTCGCGCAAACACGGCAGCAGGCAGGCACGGTAGTGGGGGGGGGGGGGGGGGGCGATGAGGGTGCGCAGGGACGGCGGGGAGCGTTTGGGCGGCGGGGTTCTGGTGGCGGGTGGCGAGAGTGGGGTGAGTACGGGGCGCGGACAGGCTGGCACTGGCGACGATCGTGGCTCTTGCAGCTGGCGGTTATTACGGGCCGTCCGCTGCCACGCCCTTCCCTTTTTATACTCTCCCCCCCCACAGCGACCGTCGCTGCACACGCGAGCAGCCGCAACGAGGGGATGAGCGGGTGGCGAGGTCCGTACGGGTGACGGGAGGCGAGCAGGAGGCAGGGTGCGTACGGGGCATCGATCTGGGTGCGTGCTGGGCGCGAACGAACTGGCGCTGGTCGATGGCGTAGGTCGATGGCGGTCGTTGCTGACGGTGCATTTGTCGCGGTGGGTGCTGGTTTGCGTCACTGTCGCGGCTGACGCTGGTCGGCGCAGATGTCGCTGCTGGTGCTGGTCGTTCGCGGCTGGCGGCTGTTGCGGCAGGCTCGACGACGAATCCGTTGGCTCGCATGGCATGCTCGTGGCGTTTTTGCTGGCGATGTCGCTGGTGCGTTGCTGGCGATTTCGCTGGCGATTTTGCTGGCGGGTTGCTGGCGGGTTCGCTGGCATTTGCCATAGCGTCTGTCGCGGCCGTCGTGCTGAGCACCACGACGAGAAGGTGACGGGACGGCCGTGAAAGTACTCGTCGTGGTGCCTGTCACTAAGGTCTCAACTAAGGACGTCACGGGCGCCATGACGAGTGCGTCAAATGATGGGCCCATAGGAATGTTACGGCTCTGATACCATATTACAACACTGACTCAACTGGTAACTGGGTTTAACTAGAGGCCGAGGCTTAGTAGCCTAGGCCAAGCGGGCGTCGAGGAGTTTGTGCCAAGGAGAATTGAAAAAGGGAGGAGTTCACTATAGCACACAAGGTACATGTAGCAAACCAACAAAGGTGAAAGAGATGTACCACCATACAAGAGAATTGCACAACAACTACACTACATGCAGCTTATACGAAATAGATATAAATCTATTTTGACACAGCCGCCTTGCCGTAGTGTCACTACGCCGTCGACTTACAACGTTGGCAAGCTGCCATTCTGCAGTGCTGGAGCGGTGCGGACTTTTCAGCACTGGAACACAGTCGACCATGCTGCGCTCGAGGTCGACCTGCTTGCTTGCTACCTTCTGATGTAGTACATTGTCGCTTTGCTTGTTCAAACCATTGTTGTGAACTTTTGCTTGTGAAACTCTTGCCAACTTTCCCCTTGAATGTGTGCGTAAAGAGAACACGAGCAAACACAGAAGGAACGCTACGACCACTTTCACAACCGTGCCTTTCCCCATAGTCTAGCTCCCGTTGTAGAGTTTATCTCCGCAGCCCCGACCTCCGTTGTTGCAATGTTGATGCTGGAGAGGGAGCTGTCCGCATTCCGCTTGAGCGAGGGAGAGTCAATGCAACCTGTCCTGGACAAGATGCGCGACCCCAATGAGATGTTGGCGACCGTGGGAATCACCTACCCGGAGCAGACCAAGTGCATGAAGATGCTCTCGCTGCTGCCAGAATTGTGGCGTCAATTTACGAGCGGATTGAGCCTGCCACAGAACCAGAGCTTGTAGACACTTGAGTGGGTGCAGACGAAGATTCTAGAGGAGAACTTCCATCGACGCCAACTGAGGGATGGAGACGATGGCAGCAGCGGCTACGGCATGTAATAGGCAAACGTGGCAAAGAATGTGGCTTCGGCGGTGCTGGACGTGGTGCAAAGACGGACGATGACTTCAACGACCAACATGGATGTAACGGTTTGGGTCACGGTGGAAATCCAGACGTGAGGGCAGATCGGGTGCTGGTGGCAAAATGAAAGGGAGCTGATCGTATTGTGAGAAGGAAGGGCATCCTTGGTTCTCGTGGTACTAAGAGTAAGTGGGTTACTTATTCGTGTGGATGGTAGTAAGAGTAAGTGTGTTACTTACCCATATGGATGGTACTAACACATAAGTGTGTTACTTACCCATATAGATGGTACTAAGAGTAAGTGCGTTACTTACACAAGCGGATGGTACTAAGAGTACATGCGTTTCTTACCCATGTGAATGGTACTATGAGTAAGTGCGTTACTTACCCAAGTGGATGGTACTAAGAGTAAATGCGTTACTTACCCATGTGGATTCTACTAACATTGTGTGCATTACTTACCCAAATGGATGGTACTAAGAGTAAGTGTATTACTTACACACGCATAAAAGTAAGTGCATTACTTACCCATTTGGATGGTACAAAGAGTAAGTGCGTTACTTACCCATGTGGATGGTATCAAAAGGAAGTGCATCTCTTACCCATGTAGATGGTACTAAGAGTAAGTGCGTTACTTACCCATAAAAATGGTACAACGAATGAGTGTGTTATTTACCCATGTGGACGGTACTAGGAGTATGTGCACTACTTACCCATGTGGATGGTACTAAAAGTAAGTGCGTTACTCACCCATGTTGATAGTACAAACATTATATGCGTTACTTACCCATATGGATGGTATTAAGAGTAAGTGTGTTGGTTACACATATGATTGGTACTGAGTAAGCGCGTTACTTGCACATACGTATCGTACTAAGAGTAAATCCGTTACCTACCTATGTGGATGGTACTAAGAGTAAGAGCGTTCGTTACCTATGTGGATGGTACTAAAAGTAAGTCCGTTACTTACCTATGGGTACGTTACGTACCCATATGGATGGTACTAAGAGTAAGTGCATCACTTACACATGTGGATGGTACTGAGTAAGTGCGTTCCTCACATATATGGATCGTACTAAGAGTAAATGCATCACTTACCTATGTGGATTGTACTAAGAGCAAATGCATTACTTACTCATGCGGATGGTACTAAGGGTAAGTGCGTTACCCATGTGGATGGTACTAAGGGTTAGTGCATTACTTAGACATGTGGATGGTACTAAGAGTAAGTGCGATACTTCTCCCATGTGGATGATACAAAAACTAAGTGCATTACTTACCCATCTAGATCGTACTAAGTATATGTGCACTACTTATACATATGGATGGTATTGAGCAGGTGCGTTACTTGGACATATGGATGATACTTTGAGTAAATGTGTTACTTACCCATGTGGATGGTACTAAGAATAAGTACGTTACTTACCCATGTGGATCGTACTAAACGTAAGTGCGTTACTTACCCATGTGGATGGTTCTAAGAAAAAGTGCGTTCGTTACCCATGTGGCTGGTACTAAAAGTAAGTGCGCTACTTACCCATGTGGATGCTACTAACATTATGCACGTTACTTACCCAAATGGATTGTACTAAGAGTAAGTGCGTTAGTACTGAGTAAGTGCGTTCCTCACATATATGGATCATACTAAGAGTAAATGCATCACTTACCTATGTGGATTGTACTAAGAGGAAGTGCGTTACTTACTCATGCGGATGGTACTAAGAGTAAGTGCGTTACCCTAAACACACGCGGATGGTACTAAGAGTTAGTGCGTTAGTTAGATATGTCGACGGTAATAACACTAAGTGCGATACTTTCCCATGTGGATGATACTAAAACTAAGTGAGTTACTTACCCTTAGAGATCGTACTAAGAGTATGTGTATTACTCATACATATCGATGGTTCTGAGTATGTTCATTATTTGCACATATGGATCATAGTATGAGTAAATGTGTTACTTACTTACCCATGTGGATGGTACTAAAAGTAAGTTCGTTACTTACCTATGTGGATGGTACTAACATAATGTGCATTACTTCCCCATATACCGTCTCCGTCGAGATGTCGGTCGGCGGGTTAACTTGCGCCCGCCCTGATGCCGGCCCATGCTCCGACTTTCACACCTCGAGCGACATTCTTTCGTAGAACACCCATGTCCGACGTGGCGACCACCCGGTTTTCGGCGATGTCGAGGAGCTCCCAGCCCTTGCTCTCCTCCGACACGCCGAAGTGAAGGCCCTACCTGGCCTTCGGCTTCAGCTTCTTACCGCGCTGCGGACCCAGACGGCCTGCCGCAGAGCAAGGTGCCACCAGTGGTGCTGCTCGCCCATATGCAGCAGCATCGTCCGCACCGACTCCACCACCGTCCGCATCTCCCGCCCCGCCATGCCGTTCTGCTGCGGGGTGTACGGGCAGGTGAGGTCGTGGACGATCCCCTTGCCGTCCACGAAAGCGGTGAACTCCTTCCCGAGGAACTCCCCTCCCCGGTCAAAGCCCAACATCAGGACCGACTTCTTCGTCTGCCGCTCAGCCATCGCTAGCCACTGCACGAACTCCTGCAACACATGGGACTTCTTTGCGACCGGCCTCATCCACACGGAACGGGCCTTGCGGTCCTTCAGCAGCAAAAAGTACAGGCTTCCGTCCTTGGCAACCACCCGAAACGGCCCGCACAAGTTGATGTGCACGACAGCCAGCACGTCGTCGGCGTCGAAACCTTGGTCGGAGAAGGTGTGCCTCGCCAGCTTCCCGCCGACGCACAAGACACAAGGCGAGACGGTACTGGCCGACGGCTTGATGTCCAAGCCGGTGGCGACTTTGTGCTTCACCGAGCTCGTTATGATGTCGACGCCAACAGGCACAAGCCTTGCGTGCCACATGCCCGCCATCGACTTCGTCGCCGAGACTATCGCTCGCAGGGCCACCACATCCGTCGTGGGCGCCGTTGACTTCGCCGAGTAGGGACGCAGGTCAGTGCGGAGAACTTAGCTAGTGTAGGACGCCCGACCGAGCACTTCCCCTGTCGCCGTAACGAGCAACATCATGTCGCCATCTTTCTGCAGCGTCATGCCGTTCTTCTTCAGCTGGCCAGCCGACAGCAGGTTCGCATGCATGCCCGGGACGTAGAGCACGTCGGGGATCAGCACCTGCTTCCCGGCCTTCCCTTGTAAGGGGACTGTGCCCCGACCCTGGACGTCCTGCAGCGCCTCGTTGAAGCCGCGCACGTACTTGACGTCGCCGCTCAGCTGCAGGTCGACGAAGACCTTTTTCGTCCCCATCAGGTGGTGCGAGCAGCCGCTGTCAAGCAGGACCATTGCATAGCTGCCGCCATCGCCTGGAAGTCCTCGCCGGCCTCAGGCGCCATCGAGACGGTCGGCTCCTCGTCGCCGACCAGCGAGCACGATGCCTCCTTGCCGTCTCGCCCCTTGCCGCCAGTAGAGGAGTCGGCATCCTTCGCCGAGGTCGACTTGGTCGACTGCTTTTCCTTGCGCGACGGTTTCCTCGACGTGGACGACGGCTGGCCGACCTCCCGCAGCCTCCCTTGGCGTCATCGTTGTCGGAATCACTACGGTCGGGGCACTCAAAGGAGAGATGGTCGGGGCTGTGGCAGATCCAGCACTCTCGACGCCGAACTCCTCCTCACTACGGTCGGGGCACTCTTTTAGAGCAAGCTCAGCGGTTTTAGAGGCTCCGCATCTTATGAGTTGTAGGTGGGCTTTGAGGAGTTGTCCGGCTGCTTCATTGTACTGAGGGGAGAGGGCACAATGGAGCTGGATGCGGCTGACGAGTCGTACGAGGTGGTCGATAGTGCCGGTAACCCGTTTGTGCTCAACCGTTTGAAGCTAAGGGTGAGGGCTAGTTTCCAAGAGTCCCATGATTCGAAGGAAGAGCGTGAAGGCAAAGAAGGGAGGTGAGGTTCGAGCATGGCAGCCGCTTGGGGCCGGCGGATGAGAGAAGAGCTGAAATGCCATGGTCGCAGTGCCACGGTCGGGTTGTCAAAGGTAAGGGTGCAGAGGCGGGCAAAGGAGTGGTAAAAAATGTTAGTGGGGGTATAGAGGAATGATGTTTCAGAGGTCCGTGGGAGGAATGAGCTAGATAGATAGATTCGATCTAGTCTAGAGGCGGGCGGGAGAACTACACCAGTACCGACCCGGCCAGTGTGATCAAAGTAGGAGAGCACAAAGATGGCAAGGTGGAGTGAGCGGTACTCGTCGGACAATGTGTGCCGTCAACGGGAGATTGGACACCATAGTGGCCTCACTTGGTTAATGACCAGAAAATGGGCAGTTACGGTCTAAAGGGTAGACCACCGAATTAAAGTCACCGGCGAGATCGTAGCTGTAGCTGTAGTGGGTTGTTCCAATGCGGGTGTCAGGATGGATATCCACCAGTAAACTGGACAATATGGGATCTCCACAAGCGATAAGTTTAGCCAATACGGGTTGTTCGTTGGACAGGCACTGGCATGTCTCGGAGCATAGATAGCAAGGAGGCTCAGCTCATGCAAGAAATTGTTGTGTACAGATAGGAGGCGGCCATCGGCGGAGGGGGGCGAGGAGGTGAGAGAGACTACTCTATTGAAGGATAGGATGGGGATGCCACCATGTTGCCCATTTGAATTCAGTGCATATAGGGTGGGTGCATTTACTGAAGAGTGTGGGCGGAGCTGGAGTTACGGTCTAGGCAGCAATTTAGCGAGACGTGTGTCCACTAAAATATGTATGTCAGTGTGCGGAGGGGAGTTGGAAAGCCAACGCTTTAAAGCACTTCATTTAACCAGTATATTATGGCCGTTGATGTTGAGACAACGAGCTCACATGGGCGTTAATATTCTACTAATTGGAGGCCCATCGCGCAGAAGGGTACGCGAATCCACGTGCTGAGGAGTTTGTAGGGGGGGGGGGGGGGTAAGAAGTTGTTGGAGGCTGTGGGTACCAAGAAAGAGAACAACTATTATGTCCTGAAAGTGAATATTAATGGTTGAGTGATATGTGAAGTGTGTTGATGGGAGAGAGACTAAGGGTAACACCTTGTTGTTGGGACGAATGAGTTGTATTGGAGGAGGGAGCGCTATGGTTCCAAGGAGCAACGAGGAAATAATTTCATACATTAAGATAGGCTCACAAAATTAGTCAACAGATACTAGAGAGAAACATGCTGAACAAACAAGAAAGGACTGCCAGAGGGGGACTCTATCCAGTTCCCTGAGGGGTGACGAGTCTAAGGGTGGCAAGAAATGCTTCCACGTGGTGCTTTTACGGCAAGGTGAGAGCGCGCCAAGGGCCAAAGGAATCCTTGGCAGCCGGGCGGTAGGCCGTGGCCTTCACGCGGGCGGAGTAGGGGTTGGAGTGGAGGTGCACTATGGCGCTGTCGAGGGTGGGCCGCAGACGAATTCACAGAGCGAGCAAGTCGAGAGTTCGACATCAGTATCTTAACCAATGAAGAGGAGACTGAGGTCATTGTGAAAGGTGGTGGGGCCGGCGTGGGTCCCCAGAATGTTCCCTGAGAAGGTCGGGGCAGGAGGTAGACAGAGAGAGTCCAAGGGGAGGGGGATGGGGGATAGAGGGCAGGCACACAAAGAAGACGGCAGAGACAAGGTAGTGAGAGTGGGAGAAATTTGTGCCAAGGGAATGAGGAAGCATGAAGATTGTAGCAAAACGTGAGGACGGAAGGGAGAGGAGAAACATGGGCTCCGAAGGGGAGGGAAACATAGGCGCAGCGCGGCCGAGACTAGGGCTTAAGAAAGGCACGAATGGAGAACATGGGGGGGGAGAGAGGGGGAGGGGACGGGGCGAATCAAGGGAAAGGGATGGAGACCCGTGAAGGGGGGTAATGGGGCAAACGTAAGATCGGTAGTAGTGAGAAGGTGTAGAACGGAGAGAGCGCGGTGGTAGGAGGGAGGGGACGGGCGAAATGAGGATGGGGGGCATGAACAGTGGGTGCAAGGGACAAGCGAGAGGAGGCGGGGGAGGGGGCAGGGCAGGGGAAGGGGATGGAAAATGGATAAATTGAGTTATGGGGCGGGGCAGAAGATTGAACAAAGTGAGAAAGTGCAAGACAAAGAGGGTGGAAACAGAGTGGTGGTAAGGGGGAGGGGAGGGGCGAAATGAGGATGGGGTACAAGAGCAGCAGGTACGAGGGGAGAGTGAGAAGAGGCAGTTAAAGGTGCAGGGCACGAGGAGAGCTGAAATGGGAGACAATGAGGGCAGGCACCCCGATGTAAAGGTTGAGGGCAGGAAGGATGGGGCCGAAAAGGGCGAGGATGAGGGAGAAGAGGGCAGTAGGGCCTGAGAGCGACGGAGAGGGGGAAAGCGATGGCTAAGAGGTCGAGGGAGGGATATAACGTAAGGAGGGGGCGGACAGGCAGAGGGGATAAAGGGGGTAGAGCCGGGGAAGAGGAGGAGAGCTGGGCAGGGGAAGTGCGGTGGAGGGTGTGCGACTCAGCCAAGGGAGAGAGGGTGAGAGTGGGACGGTGGAAGAGATGAAAGGGGAAGCCGGGGGGAAAGACGCGATGTGCAGCCTCGGGGAAGGCAGAACAAGGGCAGGGGCAAGGTGCACCGGGGGGCGGGGTAGAAAGGTGGATTAGGTGAAGGTCGTGGGGAGAAGAAACTCAAGCGGTGAGCGGGAGGGAAGGGGAGGGATCAAACGGACCGAAAGAGCAGGGGAGAAAAAGAGTCGTCATAAGGCCAGGGGAAGGGCTGAACAAGGGCGGGTGTGAATACGGGGGAGAGGATAGGAGTGGAGCAGCGGGCAGCAGGGGATGTTGGCTAAGGGGGATGCAATACCAGGAGAAAAAACGAATGGGGAGAGAAGTATAAACGGTGCATAAACAAGGGCAGAGAGAGGGGAAAGGGGAAAAACCATTAGCTTGCTATAGTTGTGCATTAGAGATGGTGCTTTTGTTGGTGAGACGATGCCTGCGCTTGGCAGCGAAGGCAGCGTGGTCGGAAGTCTGGTGGTTGTTGGCACAGAGCGAGCACAGACTGGAGAATTTGAGAATCATCTGTGGCTTGTTCTTCCCCTGAAGAATCTCAGAGGGGATGAGATTGAAGTTGGGGTCGACCGGGGTTGCAATGGGGATATCGGAAAGGTGGGTGAAATTAGGGGTTTTGTACGGGTGGTAGGCACGGTGAAAGTCCGTCAGATCAGCAAGCCGATGATTGCCGTCAGCCTCAGCGAAGTTGAGCAGGAAAGAGTGTCTTCAGGATGTATTCCAATGGAACATTACAGATGGAGAGAGTGGTGACACCGGCGACTTTGGTAGCTGTAAACACCTCATTTCGATCCTCAAACACCTTCTAGAGGATGGGGAGGAGGGCTCTGATTCCTCCGAGGATCTCGGCTTGGTGGGTCTCCACACCAGCCTCGAGTAATAGAATTGTGACAACGACGCGACGGCTAGCCGGAAGGAGCATAGAGGCAGCCCAATGTCTTCAGGAGTGTATTCTAATGGAACATTATAGATGGAGAGAGTGGTGATAATGGCGGCTTTGGCAGCTGTAAAACCTCATTTCGATCCTAAAACACCTTCTGGAGGATGGGGCAGAGGTTCGGACGCCTTAGCAAGTGGGGAAAGAGGCCGCGGAAAGCCATCGCATCCGCTTGCAACGGCCAAGAGAAAAGCAGCAAGCGTATACTTGACGGGCAAGGCGAAGCAGTTCTCCAATCGTTGCTTCAATTTTGGAGATGATGCCAGAGCTACTGAGGAAGGCACTAATTCCAGCGAGGATCTCGACTTGGTGGGTCTCCACACCGGCCTCGGGTAAGAACATTATTACAACGACACGGCGGCTGGCCGGAAGGAGCATAGAGGCAGCCACAGCCGTGCGCGGACGGCGTGGGTTGCGGGACGATGCCATAGGACCGAGGATGGCAGTGCGCGAGGCGGGGAGGGGATAGCGGGGGATGCGTCAGAGCCAGCGGCGGCAGAAGAGTGAGTTGAGGCTGGGGGCGCAGAGGCGGGTAGGGGTGTCGCGAAGCCCGGCAGTGAGGATGACGGGCCTTGCATCGCGGAGATGGCAGCCATTGCGGCAGGGGAAGTGGGGGGCTTGGCAGACCATACCAAGTCCAAATAGGAGGGGGACATGGGAATGGCGGACGCAGAGACGGGCGTGGTAGTTGTTGGGTGCAAACATTTATTTTTGCACGTCAACCAGCCGCCTGCATCGCATTTTGCATTTTGTATATGTGCCCATTCTCATTCTTATTTTTTGAATGTGCTGTGCGCGTTTGTCCTTGCATTCTGTGTGCCCCACTCCGACAGATCCTACTAGAAAAGTTCCATGATGTGGCATCAGCAGGACATTTCGGGAGTAACAAGACATTAGCAGGATTAGCAAAGTGTTACTACTGGCCTTAGATGGCAGCAGACATGCAGCAGTTCGTCACCTCATGCGACACGTGCCAGCGGATGAAAAGTAGCAAGCATAGAATAGTAGGATTACTTCAGCCTCTACCCATACTGGAGCAGCCACGGCAAGTCGTTAGCCTAGACGTTATTGCAGGGCTTCCTTCAACCTCACGAGGGCGTGATGCTGTAGTCGTGGTGACCGAAAAGTGCTATAAACTGGGACATTTCATCCCGAACGCGACGGCTTTTGCTAAAACAACTGTTCGCCTCTTCTTCGACCAGATCGTCACAATCCACAGCATCTCCGCTACATTCGTCTCAGGCAAGGACCCGAATTTCACGAGTACGTTCTTGAAGGGACTCAAGGGTTTGTAGGGGACAAAGCTTGCAATGCATTCAACGTACCATCCCCTGACTGGCGGATAAACCGAGCGGCTCAATCCGGTGGTTGAACAGTTACTACGCACAGCTTGCAAAGATGACATCAGCCACTGGGATCTACAGTTACCGATGCTTGAGTTCGCTTACACCAACGCATCACATGCGGCCATATGAAAGCCTTCTTTCTTCCTGTGCTACGGACGGGAACCAATCATACCCCAGCTGCCAACCACACCGGCAGACGTCCAAGCCTCACACTAATTCGTCACTATCATGCAGCAGTTATGGGAGAAGACTTAGTGACGAATCACCGCGATGCAAAACTCCCAGAAGCAGCATGCTGATCGACAACGATGAGATCACTCAGTAGCAGTCAGAGATCAGGTGCTTCTTGACACACGCAACTTGGACTTGTCTCATCTACCATCCAAGCTCCGACCTCGCTTCTGTAGTCCTGTCCGCGTTGAGGCCATGATGACGCCTGTTACATTCCACTTGCGCTTACCGACAGCATGGAAGCTTCACAATGATTTCCATATTCAGCTACTGAACCTACAAGGACCCCAACCAGCTTTTCCAGGGATGACAGCTACCGCCACCACCACCTGTTCTCATACAGAATGAAACAAAGTATGAGGTGGAATGTGTTCTCGCTCATCGACGCATACGCGGCAACATGCTCGAGTTCCTGGTACACTGGAAGGAATACAATCTGTTGCAGGACAGTTGGGTTACAAAAACTGATAAGGGCAACGCACGCCATGCTCTCTGTGATTAAGCGGGGTGTTTCTCACGCCACCCAGCTTTGATGGGGGGACGTGTGAGAGTACGACGATTAGCATTACACATATTTACTGTATTATGCATTATCTTGCTTTGCCTTAAATTATTTCGCATGTTTTGCTTATGTTTCTTACTATATTATAGTTTTAGCACCGTTGTAGGTTGCGTGCACCGGATTCTATGCATTTCAGTTATCACCTATTGCTTCTACCAAATTCGGGAAGGACCCGTTCTGGATGCTTCGCGGCCCGCAGAAACTTTGCGTAATATCTGGTTACTTTGCCTTGTGTCGTGCCTTTATATAGTGTGAGGATCTAGGATCGAGCTCAGAAATGAGAATTGTAATTGAATGATTCACCTGGGTACAACACGAGGCTATTTATAGTCTCGACACAAGGCCAGTTACCCAGGTGATACACGAATGTTCTGAGGGTCGTGAAGCATCCCGAACAGAACCTTCCCAAACTCAGTAGAAAGCAATTCGGTGGAAACGGAATAGGATTGAGTTTGGTACACGTAACCTGGTTCGGTGCTATAACTATAATAAAATATAGAAGTGCACCGAACCTAGGAAATCAAGCATATCTATGCATGATAAAGAAAACCCAAACTAGATATAGCATAATAAAGTCTAGGCAAGCTAGCAAAGCCAGCATAAGCCGTCGTACTCTCACACGTCCCCCCCTCAAAGCTGGGTGGCGTGAGATACACCCTGCTTGACAAAATAGTCCTTCAGAGCACGGCAAGCGTTGCCCATATCAGCTTCTGCAACCCAACTGTCCTCAGTGGGGTCGTATCCCTTCCAGCGTATCAGGAACTCGAGGGCCTTGCCGCCGCGGCGCCGATGAGTGAGAACGCGCTCGATCTCGTACTCGGGTTCATCCTGTATGAGAAAAGGTGGTGGTGGCGGTAGCTGCCGTCCCTGGAACTGTTGGTTCGGGTCCTTGTAGGGTTTCAGTAGCTGAACATGGAAAGCGTTGTGAAGCTTCTATGTATCTGGTAAGCGCAAGCGGAATGTAACTAGTGTCACCTGTGCCTCCACGAGAAATTGACCACAGAAGCGAGGCTGGAGTTTGGATGGGAGGTGAGACAGGTTCAAGTTGCGCGTGTCAAGAAGCACCTGATCTCCGACTGCTACTGAGTGATCTCGTCGTTGGCGATCGGCATACTGCTTCTGGGAGTTCTGCATCGTGGTGAGGCGTCGCTGAGTCTTCTCCCATAGCTGCTGCATGGTGGTGACGAAGACATGTGCGGCTTGGACGTGTGCCGGTGTGTTTGGCTCCTGTGGTGTAAGTGGTTCACGTCCGTAACATAGAAAGAAAGGAGTTTTCCCTGTGGCCGCATGTGACGCATTGTTGTAAGTGAACTCCAATGTCGGTAACTGTGTGTCCCAATGGCTGACGTCGTTTTTGCAAGCTGTGCGTAGTAACTGTTCAACCACCTGATTGAGTCGCTCTGTCTGTCCGTCAGTCTGGGGGTGGTATGCTGAAGACATTGCAAGCTTATTCCCCACAATCCCATGAGCTCCTTCCAGAACTTACTCGTGAATTTGGGGTCTCTGTCTGAGATGAGTGTAGCGGGGATGCCGTGGATGGTGATGATGCGGTCGAAGAAGAGGCGAGCAGTTGCTTCAGCTGTAGCTGTGGCGTTGGTCGGTATGAAGTGACCCATTTTGGAGAACTTGTCGATCACTACGAGGATGGAATCGTGCCCCCGTGAGGTCGAAGGAAGTCCCGTGATGAAGTCGAGGCTAACGACCTGCCATGGCTGCTCCGGTACGGGTAGAGGCTGAAGTAACCTTGCTTTTTTTTGCTTGCTACTCTTCATCCGCTGGCACGTGTCGCATGAGGTGACGAACTGCTGCACGTCTGCAACCATCCCGGGCCAGTAGTAATACTTCGCTATCCCTGCTAACCTCTTGTTGCTCCCGAAATGTCCCGCGTAAGGTACGTCGTGAAACTCCTCCAATAGGATCTGCCGTAGCGGGGCGTAATTCGGTACCCAAATCTTTCGTGAACCATTTTGGAGAACTTGTCGATCACCACGAGAATGGCGTCATGCCCTCGTGAGGTCGAAAGAATTCCTGTGATGAAGTCGAGGCTAACGACTTTCCATGGCTGCTCTTGTACAGGTAGAGGCTGGAGTAACCCTGCTTTTTTATTCTTGCTGCTCTTCATCCACTGGCACGTGTTGCAAGAGGTGACGAGCTTCTGGACGTCTGTTGCCATCCCAAGCCAGTAGTTATACTTCGCTATCCCTGCTAACGTCTTGTTGCTCCCGAAATGTCCCGAGTATGGTACGTCGTGAAACTCCTCCAATAGGATGTGTCGGAGCGGGGCATAGTTTGGTACCCAAATCTTTCTTGTGCCCTTCCTTACAGCTAAGTCTTTCTCCCACTGTAACAGCTTCTTTCTCTGCGTCCACGGAGTACCCATGTTGGAATAGACCCTTGAGCAGAGGGTTCATCCCGTCGAGCTGGATGCCTGCTACATGACCGGGGCGGCTCAACACGTCTGCTTTGTTTTGTAGCCCGGGCTTGTAGATGATGTCATAGTGGAAGTGAGTTTCCAAGAAGTCCACCCACCGCACCTGTCGTCGTGAGAGCGTCGGCTGCGACTTCAGGTATTTGAGACTGCAGTGGTCAGTATAGACTATAGTCTTGGCTCCCTCTAGGTAACACCTCCACGCCTTGAAGGCTATGACTATCGCTAAGGCTTCCTTGTCATGGATGGGGTAGTTCAGTTCTGCTCCGTGTAGCTTCTTACTGAGGTAGGCGATGGGCTGCAAACCGCGTCCGTGATCCTGCATCAGTACTGCTCCGACTGCCTGGTCACTAGCGTCTACTTCCACCACGTAGACCTTGTCTGGGTCCGGAGTACTGGCGCTGTAGTCAGTGCTGTCTGTAGCTGCTCCATGGCTCGCTGATGAGGAGTATTCCATTTGTGGGGCGTATCCTTTCTCAGTAGGTCGGTCAGTGGCGCTGCTATCTTAGTGTACTGCGGCACGAACCTGTTGTAGTAGTTGGCGAAGCCTAGGAACTGCTGCAACTCCTTCACGTTCTCCGGTACTTTCCATTTCTTAACGGCTTCAATTTTCCGCGGGTCCACGTGTACGCCCTCCGCACTCACCATGTGCCCGAGAAACTACACCTTCTTCCGGGCAAAGTCGCTCTTTGATAGCTTCACGCAGAATTTGTTTTTCTGCAGGATCTCGAACACCTTCCGTAGATGCTCCACGTGCTCCTTCATGTTCTTGGAGTAGATGAGAATATCGTCCAGGTACACCACCACGCACTCGTCCAGCAGGGGCCGTAGGATTTGATTCATCTCCGCCTGAAACGTTGCTGGTGCGTTGTAGAGTCCGAACAGCATCACCAAGTATTCCTAGGAGCCGTATCTGGTACGGAGTGCCGTCTTGTGGATCGAGTTGTCCGCCATCTTGATCCGCTAGTAACCCGACCGTAGGTCCAGCTTCGAAAAAACTGTTGCACCACGCAGTTGATCCAATAGGTCGTCTATGCGTGGTACGGGGTATTTGTTTTTAACTGTCCATTTGTTCAGTGCGCGGTAGTC